TTTCTCGTTCTTGCACAGTAGAATTGTAAATGGGCTGATCCAACAATGTCATGCTCATAACTGTGCCTGATCTACAACGGTGAACTGCTGCTTTTTCTTTCCTAATCCTTACTATTCTCATTTTTTCTCTACTTCTTTTGTATGTTAGTCACACTCTTGTGAGCCACTATTTCCGGGGTGCCTTGATAGTCGAAGCAGACTTTGTGCTGTTGAAGCTAAAGAGGTGAGCAGAGTAAATCTGATTCCCCGTGAGGACTTCTCTGTTGACAGCCAGCCCTTGGGGCTTGTGTACCTTTGGTCAACGTTTTTCAACACAATCCACACTGAATAGAAGTGTTCTTAAATTGACGAAGACGATGTAAAGCCATGATTATTTTTTCCTTTGTGTGTCAGTGTATGTGTGTGTGTGTGTGTTTGTGTGTGCATGAGTGTGCGTATGTGTGTGTATGTTTGAATGTTATGCGTATGTGTATGTGGGTTTGTGTGTGAGTGTGCGTGTGTGTGTCTGTATAATATGTGTATGTGTAAGTGTATGTTTGTTTGTGTGTATGTGTGTGCGTATATGTGTATGTATATTTGTGTATTTAATCGGTAAAAATTGCCCTACCAGACAAGAGGAAAATGTCTGATTTCGTCCACTTCATTTCCCGTTACTTTGACGAGCGGCTGATTTCCCCACGAGGCCTATCAAATGTATTCTATAATAACGGCTGATAACGACCCAGGTACGGATTTCCGGACAAGTCCCCCCGATAATGACCGTGGAAGGATTTCCCCTATACATACAGTAGTGCCGGGCGGCTAGGTTTCCGATTATTGAAAGCTAGGAATGGTATCGGAATCGACCCCGGGTCCAATTACTTACTTTTAAATGATGTGGTTTCTTCAGGGGTTAACTAATTGGCGTTTGTGGTTGGCGGGTGCTCTGATGTGGTTTGCTTCTTCTTTTCTATCAAACATGTATCGTCGTTATCTCCCCTCCTTTTTTATGTTTGTTACTCTCTTGTAACACCTCTAATCTTCTGGCACTCATATTATGACCTTATGCAGTTGCAGGCGCCGTAAAACGTATACTAAAACAAAAAACCTAATTGGTTTCGAACATCTTCAGGGTTTAGAATAACCTTGATTTCGGAACACTACGAAGTATCAACTTAAAAAAAAAAATTCTTTGAAAAAAAAAGAAGATTTAAAGGATTTAAAGGATAACTGCAGGTAACCGTTGGTTTACGTTAAAAGTAGTAGGAATTTTTTTTCCGTAGCATTAATCGTAGGAAGT